ATGGCATCTGATCCAGTTACACCAGCCCTTGAAGCGATTGTCCAGATGTTGAGAAGTTTGATCAGCTCATGAAGAGGTAATAACCACTACATCTATTCATCCCTGGAAAAGATCACTGACAGATTTATTAGTTATTCAGTAAAGACCTTAATAACCTCAAATGACGCTGAATGGATAAGAATGGTACTTCTTAACCCCGAAGACACATTCATAGAATCAGCAAATTTTCGGTATGAATGTTGAAATTTCAGTACTTTTTGGATTGAGAAGTAATATATAATCATTTCAAATCTGGGGCTGATATATGATTTGAAGGCACTGGGTGAAAAATTCGTTCACGCTCAGCAATAACCAGATACCCAAGGTATGTTTTGAAAAGCCATATGGAATAATGTGCTCTCAGACTGATGTTCATCTAGAACAAAGAATTGATCTACCACAAAGAAACCCTAAAACTCATTGTAATTAAAGAGAAGCTGTTTGAAATTCTGACAAAAGCACATCAGCAATGCCAACATGGAGGTCAAAAAAAGGACTTTAGCACAAGCTAGACTGACATATTCCCAGTACGCCCATGCTACAGGTCAAAATTCCCCCTTAGAAATATCAAATAAGCTAACTGCAGAATTAACAGAATCCCTGAGGTGCTACTTCAGCAATACATAAAAATATGCCCAATGTGCAGTCCAGTACTATCTGAACCACTAGTACCGGCTTTGAAAGTACTCTCAAATGTTGTTGAGTTTGACAAGCGCATGGCAAGGTATCTATACCCATTCAACACCAAGAGAGGCTACTGATGTGTTTATTAGTTATACCAAACATTTGCCTGATGAATTTAGAGATAAAGCTACAATATCCTGGAGCATGACTGGGAAGATTGAAAAGACACTTCTTGATGACACTACAGAACCAGTCAAGTTTCAGTATGCATGTTTCAACCTTCATGAATAGTTGTTTAGAGGCTGACTTAATGTTTTGAAGAGATTGGTTCAAAAAGATGTTCACATTAGAGTGGATCAATGGCCAGCATTCAGTCTTCCAGAAAGGGAAACCCATTGCACTTTGAGAGAAGATATTTAAAATTCTGACAACAGCACATCAGAAATGTGAACATGGAGACCAGAAAAAAACTTCAGTGAAAGCTAATGAATTGTATTCTTGGTGAGTATATTCATTGCTGCCTGGGGATATTTTGAAAAGCTAATCTTGGCTAACTTCAGAATTAACAGAGTTCCTGAGGAACTAATTCATGAATTCATTAATATATGCCCAACATACAGGCTGAAATTCACTGAACCACCATTCATGTGTGGATATGATGGATGCAAGAAAAGCTATCAACAGCCGGAATATCTGAGATGGCATCAGTTGAATCATGCGCATTATACTTTCCCTTCTATTGATTTCTTCTGTTGCTGATGTTAGCAATAAGACAACCCTAAGGACATCTATCATCGCGACTTCCCTAAGTGGCTTCAATGTCACAAGTCAGCACATACTCTGGCAATGAAGGTCCAGCCCTACCACTGCGAACACATCAATCCTTCTACAGGCAAGCCTTGCAACTCCATCCTTTCCAGTCCTCGCTCTCTTAGAAGGCATGAAGATGAAATCCACAACACCCGCAAGCAAAAGGTGCGGTGCTGTCTATGTACAAAGGAAAAGACCTTTTCTCGCAATGATAACCTTGCACACCACATGCGGGTTTTCCACCCCGAAGTTGATTGGCCAGGCAAGCGGAAATGCAAGTCAACATATTCTTGATCAATTGACAAGGCACCTGCTCCAAACTACCACTACATACATGTACAATATCCCCAAGACTCAACCACCCTAATCCGATCCCAACCACCGAACCTGCTCAGGAACTAAGTTATTTAGTGATCTACACACACTCTTTCCTCATGCACCGTGCAAATTTTGTTACTTAGAAGGCAACAGTTTGTAGTTACAATAATTGTCCCTATACAATTTTTCCCTAATTCCTGTGTGAATATGATGAATGTATGAAAAGCTCTGCTCTGTTTTACTTTCTTTGCTTTATTCCGTTTCAATTTGTGTTTGAGTTGCCCCTCCTTGCACGATTCCTTGGCCTTTTACCACCTTCTATTATCTACTACAGGGTTCTGTTGGATTTTTGTGTTCTCTACAGGTTGTTTGGTGTCTGGGTTGAACAATTAATTATATCAAAGGAAAATGTTCGGATTACTCGTCCTTGTCTTTGCAC